GAGTTGTTCATCTTTATGTCGCAGGTTCAAATCATTTGTACATTCATTTTTTATTTGAGATACAAACAATATATACGATTTATATATAAAATGTGTTCTTTTTCCATTGCTCTGATGAGTATCATACAACTCAAAATGAATGCATGATATTTTGTGCAACATCTTCATAATTTACTCTAGTGAAACAATTTAACCCTTCCCCCCAGTGTAAACGTTTATAACTTTTCAATATTGATGACATTAGTCAGGCAAGCTTTTTAAAAAGCTGTTACTTGTAAACATAAACAATAACAGAACTCGTGCCCTGTTTACAAAAACTGTGTACATAACACGAGTGTGCTTAGTTCTGAATGACGATACTTGTGAAGGAGTTTTGCTTTCTAATATTTCTACTCTGAATAAAATTATTTTTCTGGATAAAAGTTTTAATATTTCTCATTAATACACAACAAGATTGCCACTTTTCCTAAGGATTAAGAATAAGGTTAAAATTTGTGAAAGTGCAAGGATGTGTCAATCAAACCCGCCAAAAAATTTGAAGTTTTAATAACTTTTAAATGAAATAAGATTTTAAATTAATTTTTGTGTGAAATGCTATTAAAATATATAAGTCGTAATATCACAGAGAAAATATTGACTTCAGATCTGTGTCCAAGTACCTTAAGAAGCCATTTGAAAAGTTTATCTAAACAGTATGAAAGGAAGCTCGATAAATTTAATTTGTTAATGCCTATGATAGAATCAAATAGATGTACACCTTTATATTTATTTATAAAATATAACGACTTCATCGTACTGAAGTTCGATGATTTAAAGTTTTATTACAAGAGGAATGTGACCTTAATTTGTGCAAAAAAAAGGTCACGGGCGGATCTAAAGAGGGTGGAGAGAGGGGGATCAGTAGGTTTGTGCTAAAGTGCTGTTCCTTACAGGGGCATTGACTAGCAAATAATTGACGCTACCTCTGCCGTTTTTTATATCTTAAACTTGAAATCATCGACACCTGATGACACGAAACCAAAATATCTTGTTACATTTTAATTATAATAAAAAAAAGTATATATATGTACTCTCGTAATAATCGTACAGTGCATGCATAGCAGGAACAGAAGAAAATATGGTTCTAATCAAAATTAATTTTGTGGTACTATGTTTCTCTCTGCACTTTACAACTACATGTTGTATTACTCCGCAATCCCATCTACAAGGTATTTTGAAGTTATTAATTTTTTTTTTCAAATTAAGAAAAACATATGAGTTCAAATTCAAAATTTACAAATGTGTTTTTTTCTATGTAGAAAATATATATGTATCAATGCTTTGTTTATCAGGAAATGTCGAGTCTTTACTGAAGTTAACTCGCTGGAACTGGAAACACCTGAACACCTCAGTCAAAGTGGACACCCCGGTCTCTGTGGACATTTCTCTTCTGTCTCACTACAGACTTACTGGAAAACACTTCAGCAAGTACCAAAGTAAGTATTTCAAACGTTTTAAAAACATTAATTGTGAGAAGTACACTGTACAAAACTTTTAAGTGTTCACCCTAATAAATGTATTTATTTAAAAAACAACTTTATAGAATGGTATGATATTGTCAAATTATTACAACAAATGAGTCTTCTCAACAATTGTTGAAAGAAAATCAAGTATTACCGATGAAAACCAATGTACAAATGGACAAAGCTTAAAAACAATAAATTCTGTTTTGTGTAATTAACATCTTTTTGTGATCATAATTAAATTTTAAAAATTGGTTTCATTAAAAAACACAAAACATTGGCAAAATGAACAGAAGGAAAAGCCCTTGGAATGTTGATATCTGGATCACCCTTGCAGCACGTTTTACTCACTTTTATTTTAGTTTTTAATTGTCCTTGATATTTTGAAAATTAACAACCAGTATCAAAACCCATTTAAACAAATTTTTCTATAGGCTGTGCGTCATTTTCTTCGCCAATTTATCACAATTTGAAAGCTCTGGACAAAATTTAACAAAACCGAAAGTGATCTGGATCTTTGTCTGAGGCGGAGGTTTTGCCTCACACCAGGTTAAAAGAGCGTTGAATTGTCCTGAAACAATTTTAGAAACATGAACACAAACAATTTAAATGATAAGAAATCGATGCTCGTGGCAGTCTAATATCATCTCAAATAGTATGAATCATCCTTAGAGCGGTGCACTTACGTGCTAAACGTCCAAGGATATTGACCAAAAGGCATATCTGTGTGATGATACACTGCCAAATTTCCGGATCTGAATTCCATTGAACACATTTGGGATTTTTATAAGGTATGTCAAAGCCCACCCCCATCCACTCAATTTCAACGGTTTGGAAAGATCTAGGCAGTAGGTGTGGTAGCAGATGGGCCAATCTCCTATTCAGGGGTACATGGTATCCAACAGTAAAGGATGTCCTGCAGTAATTAGAGCGACTGGGGGGTCTTACTCGATAGAGATTATTTTATGTGAATTTTCATTTTGAGGGTACATTAAAACTTAAAAAATTGTGAAATGAACACTTAGAAGTTTGGTTCAGTGTATTTTCATTTTTCGGCGTAAAAATATTCCTTGAAAATTAACTTTAATGCATATGATGCTTACATGTAAGTATAATTATTATAAAGAAGTTACTTCATTTAAGATTTAAATATATTCTTAAAGTAACTAGTGCTAATTGTAACGGGAACCGTTACACATGTTCCCCAAACGCTCCCCAACTCCCTTTTGGTGCCATATTCCCTGTAAGCTTCATTAAATAAGACAAACTCTGTGCATTTTTGCTTTTAACAACGTTTTCCCAAAAGGATACCAATTATATTCAAATTTTTGCATTGCACCCCAGCGCATGTGAATGCATGTGAGTTATGACCACATCATCTTGTCTACACTATCTATATATTTTAATATACTATATATTAAAGCATTCCGTCCAAAAGTAATAAAAATCACTCATTCAAGTGTATTTTTAATTATACTCGTTCTAAATGCACGCACGTGCGTGCACGTGCATGATGACCATACCTTCTTGTAGGAGTCCCTTACATCGATCTATGTTCTAAATAAATCCCATCCGGTTCGGTAGAAAAACAAGGGAGTTATAGCCATTTCAAATTTCAGCCAATCAGATTGCAGCACACATGCATGTGCGTGATTTCATGATTTTTTTCTTTACGATATTGTAGGTTATCCTAATGCATGACTATATTTTAAATTTCAAAGAATTTCGTCAAAAAACAAAGGATATATAGCCATTTAAAGTTTCATCCAATCAGATTGCAGCACGCGCACATGCGCATGCTTTTATGAAAATTCTTTTATATCATGCTGTAGATCTTCATAATGTAGCACTATGTTCAAAATTTCAAAGGATTATGACAAGAAACAAGAAAGATATTGAGACTTTAGTTTCAGCCAATCAGAGCGAAGCGCACGTGCATGCGCGTGAGATCTTGCTATTTTGACCATGCTATCTTGTCTATACTTCTAATGTATCCTTACATTATAAGTTTCAAAAAATTTCATCAAAAAATAGAAAAGTTACGGCAATATTCATTATATTAGTCATTTCACGTGTTGCACGTGCACGCTCTTGCAAGCACGTGCGCGCAAAATGACCTTGATTCCGCAAATCTACATAATATGTCTACTGACCCTAAAAAGGTTTTACCTACATCGGACGAACAGTTTACAAGATCACTCCCGGACAAAAAAGTACCCAGGAAGAAGAAGAAGAAGAAGAAGAAAAATAATAATAACTAGTGCTAATTGTAACGGGGACCGTTACAGATGTTCCCCAAACGCTCCCCAACTCCCTTTTGGTGCCATATTCCCTGGAAGCTTCATTAAATAAGACACACTCGATGCATTTGAGACTTTAGCTACGTTTACCCAGAAGTGTACAAAGTTCATTCAAATTTTAGCACGCGTGCGCATGTGAATGCATGTGTGTAATGACCAGATCATCTTGTCTACACAATCTATATATTAATATACTAAATATTAAAGTATTTAATCTAAAAGTATTAAAAAAGATGCGCTCATTCAAGTGTTTTTTGGATTTTGCTCATTTCACGTGCACGCACGTGCATACTTGAGCATGGTGACCATACCTTCTTGTAGATGTCCGTTACATCTATCTATGTTCTAAATCCCACCCCGTTTGGTTGAAAACCAAGGGAGTTATATCTGTTTAAAGTTTCAGCCAATCAGATTGCAGCGCACGAACATGCACGTGTATGCATGTGCATGGTGACCATATTTTCTTGTAGTAGACCAGTATATCTATCTATATTCCAAATCCCATCCTGTTTGGTTGAAAATCAAAGGAATTATAGCTATTTAAAGTTTCAGCCAATCAGATTGCAGCGCACGTGCATGCACGTGTTTTCATGATAATTGCTATATATCATGTAGTAGGATATTGTAATGCATGGCTATTTTCAAAATTTCAAAGGATTTCGTCAAAAAACAAGAAAGATATTGAGACTTTAGTTTCAGCCAATCAGAGCAAAGCGCACGTGCATGCGCGTGAGATCTTGCTATTTTGACCATGTCATATTGTCTATGCTACTAATATATACTTATGTTATAAGTTTTAAAGCATTTCATCAAAAATTTAAAAAGTTACACCTATATCAATTAAATCGGTCATTTCACATGTTGCACGTGTGCACGCTCTTGCAAGCACGTGCGCGCAAAATGACATTCGTTCCGCAAATCTACATAACATGTCTACTGACCCTAAAAACATTTCACCTTAGTCGGATGTATAGTTTACGAGATCATTCCCGGACAAAAAAGTACCCAGGAAGAAGAAGAAGAAGAAGAAAAATAATAATAATAATAAGAAACAGAGTAAAAACAATATGTTCCCCAACTTCGTTTGGGGAACATAATAAGAAACAGAGTAAAAACAATATGTTCCCCAACTTCGTTTGGGGAACATAATTAAGGAGTAACTGTACATATAATGTGTAATCTTCGTAAACAGATCTTCGAAAGCAAAGAGACTGTGCATCAGTTCTAAAATCCATACCAAACACAAAAGGGAAAGATGGCGTCTACACTATTTACCAGATATGAAGACAAGGAAACTGGTGTACTGTGACATGACTACAGAGGGAGGGGGTTGGACGGTAGGAATTTCATGATTTTCTATTTTATGGTTTTATATATTTTGCCTAGACGTACAATTAAAGTTTTATAATTCATTTATTTAAGGTTTACTTTATTTACTTTTGGTAAAGATATGTTTTCTGTATGTAATATAGATTATATCGACCTTGAATAATGATCTTTTTTCGTGTATGATCTTTTACACTGATTTTATTAGTTTTTTCATTATATACATGTAGGTTATCAATAAGAGGATGGACGGATCAGTAGATTTTTATAGATCCTGGGATTCGTACAAAGAAGGATTTGGTAATGTGGAGGGAGAATATTGGTTAGGTGAGAGATAAATTGATTGTCCATTATATGAATTATATGGATAACCTCCAAACGTAGTTTAGATAAATTAGATTATATATCCTAATAATACCGAAGAGACCCTTAATAGATATTTCCTATTTAAATACAGTTTTTAACCAGCACAAAACGAACATTTAGAAGAAATCTTATTTATGCTAATAAATGCAGACTCAAACTGAGCTAAATGTTATATCTCATGTTTATGGTTTATATTGCAAAATGTCTTCAAAACAAATCTTTACAAGTCTTAAAAATCCTCTCCTTAAGAATAGCAAAGCCATAAATCATATTGCTATGAAAGCATTTTCAGGTAGTGTAAATTTAAGTTTGTTGAAATCCTGACCCCGAAGGAGCCATAACATCAGATCAAGTTTTACATAGAATTATATAGGAAATAACAATTTTCTTTAAGAACAGCGAAATCGTGATTTCGTAGTCATAGCGTACATTCAAGTTAGGCTTCTAAGCGCATTCAACACAATATTTTCCCTCATAACCGTTAAGACTTTCATAAAGTGGTTTCTCCCCAAATACTATATTTGATTGCTTCACTCTTTTTCCGTACAAACAAACATTCCCTACCTTCAGAAAATTCAAAACAATTTTTACTATCTGCATCTGTATTTAAAATTATTGTTTACCCAAAAAGATTTATATGACTGTTGCCTTTTTATGTCACCTGAGTAAACCTGAGTTTAACTCAGTTTATATATTGCTATATTGCTATATGTTTTTGTCTGTCGTCGTGGTCGTCCGTAATGTGTTAACATTTGAACATTTTCAGCTTCTGCTCTGCAACGACTCAACCATTTTCAACTAATTTTAATACATTGCATCTATGGGTGAAGGGAAGTAGAATTCATGAATTTCGTGGTCCCTGCCCCCCTAAAAATCTTCTTCATTACTTCTGAACATCAAGCAGTCAAACTGTTGGCATGTTTGTAATCAGCATTGAGTCCTCTACCAAAATTGTGAAATTCATGGCCCCAGGGTCAGGGGTTCTAGTGCTAGGGCGGGGCTATATAGATTATATACCGGGGTAGTAAAATGCATTGTTTCTTTCAAAATCGTCTCTGCACATGGGCAAAAAACCAAATACATAGTTATGTTGATTATGGCTGCCTCTTCCAAAATTGTGAATTTCATGACCCCAAGGTCAAGGGTTTTGGTGTTAGGGCGGGGCTCTATTGATTATTTAAGAAATATTAACGTTCTAAATCAAAAAAAAATGTAGAGTAAGGCTTCATAGTAAGTCAAAGTACTGTATTTACTATTTAACTATAGTAAGGGCTTTAGGTTACCATCGCAATTTTTTGTTATAGAGAGTACTTTGTTATCTTCATTTTTTTCTTCTTTTTATTAGTTTGATATATTTATTTTGAAGGAAAGTGATGAAATTGTTAAATTTGTATGAAGGATATGATTACACCAAGAAGAAATATTAGCCTAGTTTGTGTTTACTGCATCAATTTCTTCATGTTATTTCATATTGGTTTGTCTGCTTGCCATACATCTGTAAAAATATTAATAGAGGAAGTTTTCGTTTTTTTTAGGAAATGAAGCCATTCACTTACTCACTAAAAGGAAAGAACATGAACTGAGAGTGGACCTTCAGAAATTTACGGGTGAAAAAGCCTTTGCCAAGTATTCAAAGTTTACTGTCGGAAGCGAGTCCCAAAAGTTCAAATTAACAGCAACTGGGTACAGTGGTACTGCAGGTGATTTATTATTAACAATTAAAACAAAAATAAATTATTCCCTCTAAATATGACAATGATTGTTTCCCTCCTCAAAGTTTTATGCACATTCATATTCATATAAATGGATATTTATCGATATTGACAACTTTCATAGGAGTAGTAAAGTATGTGATAGACTTGGCTAAAAAGTGAGCATTAAATGGCTTTGAACAAACCAAAAGTAGGACAAGAAATGTAAAAAAAAAAATTAATGTCTTTTAGGTGATAGTTTGGCGTGGCATAATGGAAGGCCGTTCTCCACGAAGGATGCAGACAACGATTCTTCAAAGAAGTATGCCTGTGCTGTTCGTGGTAAAGCTGGCTGGTGGTTTAATTCTTGTGATAACTCTAATCTGAACGGACCTTATCACAAATCTGCAGTCAAATCGGATGTTAGTATTAACTGGGACCACTTTGGAAAAGGTTTTTCCTTGAAAACTGCAAAAATGATGACCAGGCCCGTAAAATAAATAAATAAATAAATCAGTGCGAAAGTATCAATAAAGAATAATTAAACATGTTTCCTTTTTGTGAATTTGAACAATTGTTTCATCAATATTTTGAATCTTCGTTTGGGGTATATATGTAATAACATTTGGATCTGTATGGAATAATATTAGAATTTAAAAAAAAACCAAACAATTTTACATTAAGGGGTTTAATATATTTTGAACGAAAGTTTAAGGAAATACACACGCTAATTCTCGATTCCTGCCTACATTTTGCAACCATATAATTCAATATAATTGGCAATTTGGCAATAAATTCTTTGTTAAATACAAAGAATAGTTCAATAGAAATTGATGAACTGTCATAATACCAGCGCTAAATAGTAAATCATCCAAAACTCCAGCTCTTGAAAAAAGGGGGGTAGACGATATTTTCCATTGAAATCGGACTTTCAAACATCACCATATTTTGAAATAGTCTTGGATATGATTAAATATTTCTTGTTTTTTTTCGTATGTTTAAGGCCAAAAAAATAAAAACATAAATGTATTAATGAAATACCAGTATAATTGTTTCAGTTGTAAATCGCTTTGAAATAGGTGGGAAATAAGCATTTTTGTCGTTTTTTTGTCAATACATGTAAACATATGCCCCCCCATGGTGACACACAAAAAGCTTAGGAATGAGTTTATTAAATAGCAGTCCATTTTACCTGTAACAAGGAATTTTGAGTCACCGAGGGAATGGTTTAAAAATATTTTCCGTTTTCCGTTGATTTCTATAGTGAAAAACACATGTTTTACCAAAATTTTAGAGTTATAATTGAATTTCTTTGTTTTTCCAAATCAGTAATGTTTTAGGAAAATCCATATAAGTATCTATAAAAATATCAAAAATTCATCAAATTTGTTATCTTTTGAAAATTGACTTGGAGGTAGGCGGGAGAACAATACTATCGTTAGCAGTTCTTCATATTCATTACAAGATACATATGAATTTTAAAATAACATTGCCTTATGACCTTCAGATTTGAGAAGTCATAATTAAATAAAACAAAAATCATAACAATTTTAAATTATTATTAACTAAAATCTCATATACAGTATACTGCAGCATGAGTAAGGGAAATGAACAATGAAAAATTTGAGGTCATCCTGTTTATAACAATGCTTGTTGTGAGGTTACCATTTAATAAAGTCTTTTTCTTGTAAAACATCTAAAATTGAGACAGACATACCAAAATTTGTTATATATTTTTTTATTTCAACCTTACTTTGATATATCGTATTGACATTGAATGGAAGTAATTGTTATTAACTGAAAATGCATCGACAATGTAAATGTTGAGTTGATTTAGGCCAAAAAAAAAATGTTTTTTTTCTAATGATAAAGATTTTGAAAAAAAATCTGCTTTATACGAATACTGAAATAGGTCTTCTAATAATGATATAATAATAACAATATCAGCCTCCCAAGCAAAAAATACTGCAGAATTAGAATGATTACGGTGTTTTTAATTTCACTATGTTCATGAATTCAGAATTTTCCGAAACTTTAAACCATCGTGATAATTATTTAACTTATTTTCTTCCAAAAACACAGGCATACCACCTGAATATTTATTTACGATTCACCGTAAAATTAAAACCACCGTAAAATGTAATTTCCTTTCAAACCGTAAAATTTTAGACATGTGAGATTAAAGACGTCTACAGTACTAAATACTACATAATTAACGAACTTGTTGGCAAAGGACCATATGGTTGAGTTGTTTTGTTTTATATTATATGTGTTATTGATTTGGTCATTGTCTTTATATAAGCTTTATGGAAGAAGTACCAGTCTACCTGATCAAGGCATATACAGTACTTCACGACTGATGGGATCCACTGACAGGATCTTAACTTCTCCTACGCACCTGATCCCTTTGTTGCTTTGTACGCTAAATCTAGGGATGCATGCACACCAACGGACTTGTTTCGGATGCGAGAGATGACCAATAACTACGGTATATAGCCTACATTGACCAAACACGAATGGATGCAACCAAACTCGTGTGCTCTGTGTACTATATAGCCGACAGTTTAGAGTTGTGAGTACATGTTCAATCTCTAGAAACTAAAGCCCAACCTGGACCAATTTATTATTGTTATTTATTAGATTGTTATAAACGAAATTTCAGAATTTCATACGTTAACCTTTGCAAATGTGTTTCACAGTGCGTATTGGAAATTGAAATTATCCCTACTGCCAATATACTGAAATATTAAGCGCTTTTCCGGTTGGGTTTCCCTTAGTTTGAGCACAATTTTTGACCGCTTTAGTGAAAAAACCACATGCTTAATTTTCAAGGAAGAAAAAGCTTAAATCGTACATAATCAAATTACATCAATCATTCGATACAGTTCGCTTTAGCATTTGTACAAGTATATAATGATTAATGTCTATCGAAGTACTTTAAGTTAGTCTCGCTCAGGACAAAAACAAAAACTTCGATTCTCAAAACCCAATTGCTTTCTGAAATCTTAATTTATCAGCTAAAATTTGTTTGAAATATTTTGTTGAAAAGGTAATTAAAATGTACATGCTAGAAAAACTTTCTGAAAATAAATTGAGATTAAAATGTTAGTTTTTAAAGTATTAAGCGTACGATCATAGAACTGTGAACAGGTTTTCTTTTATGGTCAAATTATTATTTGTACACTAAGCAAATGATCTTTCACGTATCCCAATTATTCAAAGGGATTGCATTGTTTTATATTATTTTACAATATGTGAACTAATAACTAGCAAAGAGTTTACATGGAGAAATGGAAACTCTGTTGTAATGGAGATCAATTTGAAAACCGAAATCACGCATCAAAAGTTGTCATATTTATTATATTATCATAACTAATTCCAGTTACACACGTATAACATTACAGAATAAAAAAAGAAAGCGATTCTAATTACATCGTCAGTTACCATTTTTGTGAATCTAAGACAAAAAATTATGAAAAAATTCTGACAATGGTTTTATTATTCTGCTTTAATAGTCAAAAACGACATTTTACCAACAAACAATTCGTTCCAAGTCTTTTAGATAAATGATAGACTTATACTAGGTTCAGCATAAGGGAAGCAGAAGGTGAATCTCTATGTGGATTACATGATTACACTTTCCATGATTTGCATTTTCAAAAAAATTGTATAAAAACTTCTAAATCAACATAATCAAAATTTTTGCGGATTTTGAAAATTAAAAAAACATTTTGTCTCAGAGCGGGGGATTGTACACGCCTTATACGCCCTCTTTCAAAATAGACATCATTTCGGGAGTATTTTACACTGTTTTATAAACGTTTGACAAAAAAAAAAGCTTAGTACTAAAAAAAACCCTTTAAAAAATGAGTGAAAACGACTGCGTATAAAAATATATGAACTATTATTAAAAATATCAGTAATTGTAGTTATCCACGTTTATTTGAATTTCAAACAGCTAATGAAACTTGAATCTATTGCTTAAAACCCTCAAAACAAAATTTACAATAAGATGTAATTGACAAAAACAGCAAAGGTCTGAGAAGAGAAGAGAAGAGCAGAGTTTCTTTCCGAGCACCGAAGACATTATTTATTAAACGACCCTTGTATAAGGTGACCTACCGATGTACAATATTAGGTGTCCTCTGGCCCCCCTACTGATGTACTATATGAGATGACCTTTAGTCCCTCTACTGATGTACAATATATGGTGACCTCTGGTCCCCCTACTGATGTGCAATATAAAGTGGCCTCTGATCCCCTTACTGATGTGCAATATAAGGTGACATCTGGTCCCCCTTCTGATGTACAATATGAAGTGACATCTAGTCCTCCTACTGATGTATAATATAAGGTGACCTCTGGTCCCCTTACTGGTCCCCTACTGATGTTCAATATGAGGTGACCTCTGGTCCCCCTACTGGTGTACAATATAAGGTGGCCTCTGGTCCTACTGATTCACAATATAAGGTGACCCCTGGTCCCCCTGCTGATGTACAATATAAAGTGTCCTCTGATCCCCTTACTAATGTGCAATATTATGTGACCTCTGGTCCCCCTTCTGATGTTCAGTTAAAAGTGACCTCTGGTCCCCCTACTGATATACAATAAAAAGTGGCCTCAGGTCCCCCTACGGATGTACAATATAAGATGTCCTCTGGTCCCCTTCTAATGTACAATGTAAGGTGACCCCTGGTACCCCTGCTGATATACATTATAAAGTGACCTCTCATCCCCTTACTGATGTACAATATAAGGTGTCCTCTGGTCCCCCTACTGATGTTCAATATAAGGTGAACTCTGTTCCTCCTACTGATGTACAATATAAAGTGACCTCTGGTCCCCATACTGATGTACAATATAAGGTGTCCTCTGGTCCCCTACAGATGTATAGTATAAGGTGTCCTCTGGTCCCCTTATTGGTGTACAATATAAGGTGACCTCTGGTCCCTCTACTGATGTACAGTACAATATTAGGTGACCACAAGTCCCCGTATTAATGTAAAATATCGGGTGACCTCTGGTCCCCGTAGTGATGTACAATATAAGGTGTCCTCTGGTCCCCCTACTGATGTTCAATATAAGGTGACCCCTGGTCCCCCTACGGATGTACAATATAAGGTGTCCTCTGGTACCCCTACAGATGTATAGTATAAGGTGTCCTCTGGTCCCCCTATTGATATACAAGAGAGGACCTCAGGTCCTTCTGCTGATGTACAATATAAGATGACCTCTGGTCCTACTACTAATGTAAAGTATAAGGTGTCCTCTGGTCCCGCTACAGATGTACAGTGCAATATTAGGTGACCACTAGTCCCCGTACAATATAAAGTGACCTCTGGACCTTCTGCTGATGTACAATATACGATGACTTCTGGTCCTACTACTGATGTACAATATAAGGTGACCTCTGGTCTCTCTACTGATGTACAGTACACTATTAGGTGACCACTAGTCCCCGTACTAATGTAAAATATCGGGTGACCTCTGGTCCCCGTACTGATGTACAATATAAGGTGTCCTCTCGTCCCCTACTGATGTACAATATAAGGTGACCTCTGCCCCCCTACTTGTGTACAATATAAGGTGTCCTCTGGTCCCCCTACAAATGTATAGTATAAGGTGTCCTCTGCCCCCCTACTGATGCACAATATAAGGTGCCCTCTGGTCTCCCTTCTGATGTACAATATAAGGTGTCCTCTGGTCCCTCTACTGATGTGCAGTACAATATTAGGTTACCTGTAGTCCCCCTACTGACGTACAATATAGGGTGACCTCTGGTCCCCCAAATGATGTACGATATAAGGAATCCCCAGGTCCCCCCTATTATGTGCAATAAAAAATTACCTTTGGATCCCTATTGATTTAAAATGTAAGGTGACCTATGATCCCTCTGATGATGTATAATATAATGTGACCACTGGTCTCCCTAATGATGTTAAATATAAGGTGGCCTCTGGTCCCCCTACTGATGTACAATGTAAGGTGATCTTTGGTCCCCCTATTGATGTACAATATGAGGTTACCTCTGGTCACCCTTTATTACTTTCACGTTTCTGATAATATATATACTGTATATATTAGAAAGTTGATCTTTATAAAGTTATAAATATGATTATTTTGGAGTAAGACAAAGAAAATTGGGTATCATATAAAATTCAATTAATATATAAGGTGACCTGAGGTCTCCGTATTGATATCGATGAATTTACTTTCGTGCCTTTAATGCCTGGAGAGTTCCTAGAATGTTTTATTACTACGCAATATGACGAACTATTTGCGGGGGACCCCAGGTCCTAGTTGAGCGTACGTTTTATCCTTCTGCGTTTTAAGATGAAACGGTGGGTAAAAAAAGCTAGATCTGAGAAGAAGCTTGGTTTAGTGTAAAATTCATCGATACGAGTGCCATTCAAAACGTTTCACCCGTTCAAAGGACAAATAAAATGCTGACGACTTTGTTGCACAATGACATGCTGGTGAGATAATTATCTGTCTGTATATTATTTTCCTCCCCCAGGTTTTAAATTGCGCGTGGTAGCTATTGCATATTGCCAGCGACATTGTTTAGGTCTCTGTTATAGCTTACAGTCTATTCATCATTCTTCAGAAGAGGGTTGCTTATGCATCAGATGTAATGAATAAAACTATGGGAGAAGTTAAGTCCATTTGAGGAAGAAATAAACAATAACCTGAAGAAATAAAAAAAATTCAACTATTAAAAGGCAAGAATATACCAATATATACAGGCATGTAGTATCATTTGTATCAGCCAGAAAAATTATTTTACACTTAATTGAAAAAATGTTCATCCTACTCCCCAATACTCCCTGTCTGTTTTATGATAGGAATTATAATTTTAGGCATCAAGTAAATTTTAGAACTATGTCTACACATTCACCTAACACATATTTAAAAAATGAAGATATATTGAAAGACTTTTAAAGAATTGATTTTTTAAAATATATTTTGACCAACATCACAAAATTCATATAACTGGCCAAAACTTGAAGATGATGAAATAAGCAATTAAATGTTCTACTTTCCTATTTGTAAGCATTATGTGTCCAGTGGTAAGGAAGAATAGCATAAAAAAGAATGTACAAATGTTAATAATTGATTTATCAAAAAAAAAATTTTTTTCTCCCTCGGGACTTTTTTTATTCTCATGTTCATAACTAAACCTAAACATAAAAAAATGCTGGCCTTATAATGAAAAAAGGGGCCTCTTTCAAAATAGATAATTTCAGGGCCGCTGGGTCAGGGGTACCAAGGGGGTACTTTGACTAAAAATAAATTAATGCTTCGAAATCTGCCCTTTGATAAGCAATGGTGCCTCCTTCAAAATATGTGAATTTCATGGCTTTTGGATTAAAACACGAACCAAATACAATCGCTGGAAAGTTGTTACATGATACTCAGGTGACCTATAAGGCCCGTGGGCCTCTTGTTCCTAATAACCGTTCAGACTTTCAAGAAGTGGTTTCTCTACAAATATTTTATTTGATTGTTTCACTCTTTTTTCCAAACAAACAAACTGTCCCTACCCTCAGAAATTTTTCAACAATTTTTACTTTTTCTAAATCTGTATTTCCAATTATTGTTTGCCAAAAAAGATTTTAATGATTATTGCCTGTTTTGTTTTCTCATTTTCTCCTCAAATTATTAATGAATTTGTTCACAACTTTGTAAAGTACGGTTCACTTTTCCTGAAAATACTGCAGTAGTTCGTGAGATTGCCAAAACAAACGAATTTTGAGAAACATGTTTCCACCATCGCCCTGATTTTTTGTAGGGTCCTTTCTGCTAATCTCCCAAATTCTATTGTTACAATGGAGCTAGATTATTTTCGTACTTCTTCTTGTAATTCGTAATTTTGAATTGCATCAACTTTTGCATATTTTTCCATACTGATTTGTCTGTTTACTACCGGTATACACGTACATCTGTAAGAGTTATTAATTTGAATGTTCTTTTTAAGGAAATGAACACATTCACTTAATCACTAAAAGAAGCCAATGTGAACTGAGAGTAGACCTTCAGAAATTTTTTGGCAAAAAGGCGTTTGCAAAATATTCAATTTTTACTGTCGGAAGTGAGTCCCAAAAATTCAAATTGACAGCCACTGGGTACAGTGGTACTGCAGGTAATTTATTAACAAAAAATATATTCTGTTATACATGTAAAATATCAGTGATTGTTCACTCTTTCTTTAATAGAAATAAATATTTATATAATTGTATGCTATGATAAGGGCGACATAAATAGGAAGAGTAAAATATCTGACAGATATCAGATGATGCAGATAGAACGTAATCATTATTGATGATATAAACATTACAAAAGTTGGTGTCCAAGGAAATGTAAAAATAAAGGTTAATGAAAATATATTTTAGGAGATAGTTTAGCATATCATAATGGGAGACCATTCTCCACGAAGGATGCAGACAATGATTCATGGAAGAATTTCTGTGCTGTTGATAGGAAAGCTGGGTGGTGGTTCAATGGTTGCGATTATTGTGATCTGAACGGACCTTATTACACATCTGCAGTCAAAACGGATCGTAGTGTTCACTGGTATTATTTTGGAAAAGAAGACATCTCCCTGAAGTATGCAAAAATGATGATCAGACCCAAAAAATAAAAAAAAATGACTGAATTAAACATGTTTTCTTTTTTCTTTTAATTTGATTTGAAAAATTCGTGAAAAATACTCGCATGGTATCTTTAAAAATATCGTTTCTCAGAAAATAGTTTGGAAGAAAGAAAATACTTGTGTAATGCTTTATAACAAACCCTAGATTCGCTTAAAAAAAATTATAGAAAAAGAATTAAATTCTCGATCTGTTTTCACCAGATTCTGACTATTTATTATTTTTAGCGAACTCTTTTTTAAAAGAGAGGCAGAGTGAGCATTCAGAACACCATAATAAAAATAAATGAAAAAAATAAATGTAGATTTTTTCTTTCTTTTAATATCAAGAGATTATTTTCCAAAGTCAGAGCATGCATGTCCCTTGTCTTATTTACAATGAGCTTACTATTTTTAACCATAGATTTGACGTACACCTATTTGAATGTTTCTATAAATTCTAAATTGTAGTTCTTAAGAACGGGAATGTTATTCATTCAATATTACAGGAAAATCTGTCTACAGTTCTGTATGTAAATAATGAACCAACAATTAGTATGCAAAACGTTTGTCACCATTCGACTTAATAATAGATTGTATTTGCTCTCAGGGTCATTGTATCGGCCAGAGAACTTACGAAATGATGACTTTGAACGAGACTGCAGGTAATCTTGTTTCATCAATTTATTTGTCAGTAACTAATCTCGTTCTAGAAATTATTCATAAGCAGAGCAAGTTCGAGATAGTGTATCGAATCAACTGGTATATAAACCTTGTATTCAAGTGATGTAGGTATAATGCTGCATAAATAAGGCATATTGACGATTGAAAAGGTAAATTCATCACGTTTATCATAAATCTTGATTACTAGATTAACATTAACATATTTTTCTAGTTAAATATCCAGATTTAAAAACAGATGAACATATGTTTAAGACTCGGTGGTATCTTTTATTTCAAGCTCACCGGAATATGACATGAAAAATATGAATGAACAATAAACTAATTTTTTATTCAATTGTATAGTTTTTCGCTGTTGTTACAATGCGAAATTGTGTAACGAGCCAGCAAAATATATTCTAAAAGTAATGTATTACTTAAATTTTATTCTATTTCACTAGCTTAAACATTATTCATATTTAATAATTAATTGGTAGGATTTTAATATGCTCTTTGCTCATAGATTATGACAGTTTCCAAAGGTCTTTACATGGTTACTCGTCAAATACAGCCGTCTTTGAATCCGTTCTTTTAACATCAGCCCTTTTCCCGTGCTAGACCCAGAAACAGTGCATCTCATTAACTTCTGTATATTCTGTACATTTATATGACTCTAAAGCGCAAGATAATAACAGTGTTTCTCATTTAATTGTTCTATACACTGAAAGAAATACCTAAGTAATTTAGCTAGTATGCCCCGTAAAGCGTTCATCGTGATTAGTAATCATTGTTTTTACTGGCTAAGATAGTAAGTACATGTAGTAGGTGTCCCATGGAGCGTAGGTCGTATAGATACCTAATGAAAGTTACTGATGAATTCTAAATTTACTAATGTTATCAAGTAAATCTTCAAATACCTAGTAAAAACTACTTTTAAGGTTTGTATGGACAGTAAATTTACTAGTCTTTTTAGTGACTTTTACAATTTTTTTCAGTGATACTGCTTTCCATTTTAAAAAGCTGTAATTATTTTACTTACTAAAATCTAGCATCATGAAAGATACGTTCCACTGCAAAATTTTAAGGTTTAAAACCATAAATGTAAAAGAATTTAATTTCTATAGTAACGATTTACTATTATAAAAGATAATATTTGACTCTCATTTGACATGATTTCTTTATGCAGCATTGTCCTTTTTGGCGCTACATTTCTTCAAACCCAAGATGTGCATGGTAGGCCTAAACGTGCAAAGTACTCAGAAAAATACACACCTTTAAGAAGTCATTTGAGAATTTTAACTAAACAGTATCAAATAAAGCTCGATAAATTAAATCTATAAATACCTATTACTGTATAGAATTTTACAGATGTACACCATACCATGTATTGATAAAATCCCCTTAAAAGCTACGACTTTGAGAACCTCAAAATGTAAGGACGTTTCGTTAAGTTTTGACGAGATATTGAAACATAATAGGGCTTTATAATCGTATATAAGTTCTATGATGTTAAGTTTTATTACTTAAAGAATGTCAGCTTAATTTGTGTGAAAAACCATGTGAGCTTAAAAAGTGGAGGGAGCTTAATTGAAAAGTTGTAGTCGTGAAAGTAAAGAAACTGTCATGGGCGGATCTAAATAGGGTGGGTAGAGTGGTGTAAGTGGGTTTCTGGTTAAGTGCTTTTTCTTACTGGGGCATTGACTACCAAAACATTAAATCCGCATTTTACCTTTATTTATATCTTAAACATGAAATTATCGACACATGTTGACACGAAATCAAAATATCATGTTACATTTTAATTATAATAAAATACTATATACATGTACTCTCCTTAGTTATCGTACAAGTGCCTGCAGACACAGAAGAAAATATGGTTTTATTCAAAAATAATTTTGTGGTACTGTGTTTCTTTCTGCACTTTTCAACTACATGTTGTATTACTCCGCATTCCCATCTACAAGGTATTTTGAAGTTGTAATTTTTATTGTAATTAAAAAAATATCTGAGTACAGATTCAAAATTTTACATTTATGTAAAAAATAATTCTTTCTGTATAGATAATGATATATATCAATGCTTTGTTTATCAGGAAATGTTGAGTCTCTACTGAAGTTAACTCGCTGGAACTGGAAACACCTGAACACATCAGTCAAAGTGGACACCCCAGTCTCTGTCGACATTTCTCTTCTGTCTCACTATAGACTCACTGGAAAACACTTTAACAAGTATCAGAGTAAGTACTTATAATTTTTAAGTAAAGAGCGCCCGCCCCCCCCCCCCCCCCCCAATAAATCTATTGTGAGAAGTACACGTATCAGTCATTTTTCATGTAAAAATAACTCCGCGTTCCTTGAAAATAAAATTTAACGAATGGTGACTATATATTTTTAAAAGGAACTTATATATACTCTTTGTGGGATTTAAATGTATTTTAAAGAATTAAAGTGTAACTGTACATGTAAAATGTAATCTTCGAAAACAGAAGTCCAAAAGCAAAGAGACTGCGCATCAATTCTAAAATTCATACCCAACACAAAAGGGAAAGATGGCGTCTACGCTATATACCCGGATATGAGGACAAAGATATTGGTGTACTGTGACATGACTACAGAGGGAGGGGGCTGGACGGTAAGAAGTTTCCTGATTTTGTATTTTATGTATATATTTATATATATATATATATTGGTTAGACGTTCAATAAATTTGTATAATTCATTTATTTTATGTACATTACATTTTCATTTGGTTAAGATTTGTGTTCCTGTATTTTCTTAGTTTAATTTGTAATATCGACCTTTAAATAAGATTTTTTGTGTATAGTTATTTTGTTTCCCCTTCCATGATTTTAGTAAATGCTTAATTAAATAGATTTTCTTTTCACACGCAGGTCATCAATAAGAGGATTGACGGATCAGTAGATTTTTATAGATCCTGGGATTCGTACAAAGAAGGATTCGGTAATGTGGAGGGGGAGTATTATTTGGGTAAGAGATAAATTGATTGTCCATCATATGAATTACATGTACATGCCCCTCCCTTCAAATAAAAATTCATTGTTAAAAAGTTACCTGTTCTTGAAATAGTTAATAACAGTTTTGGAATAAAAATTTCAAACTTGAAGCTCATATTGCTTTAATATTGATTTTGAAATAATTTATTACAATTTTGTATAAAGAGTTTTTATTTCAATAATGTCTACATTTTACTCCTCATTGATGTGTCTGTTTGCTTTACTTCTGAGTTATTAAACTAGTTTACATTTTGTTTTCTAGGAAATGAAGCTATTCACTTACTCACTAAAAAGAGGCAATATGAACTGAGAGTGGACCTTCAGAAATTTTCTGGCAAAAAGGCTTTTGCAAAATACTCCAAGTTTTCTGTCGGAAGCGAGTCCCAAAAATTCAAATTGACAGTCACTGGGTACAGTGGTACTGCAGGTGATTTATTATTATTTCCATTTCTATTTTTTTTCTCTGTGATAACTCTTTGAAAGTTTGGGGACTATATTTCTTGATAATTCTACCAGAATGTAATTCTACCGGAATGTAAACTAAGCAGGTCAGTTGGTCAGGAGCTAAGGAGGCCTAATATGAATGCACATCTCGTGCGCATCTTTCTCTGTGTCTGACGCTAAGGAGGCCAAATATGCATGTAAATCTCGTGCGGCTGCTTATGCCCTGGCATACTACACTAACTAGACAGTGATTCTTTGAACAAAAATATAGATTTTTATAATATACGTATGTATGTCCGTGAATTTTCAACTTTTTTGAAGTTGAGATTTTATCCGTATAACCAAAATTTGTAAATATGTAAATATTATGCAAAGTTATTCTAGACAAATATAGAGACAAGAAAATGTACCAAAAAATATTATATATTTTAGGGGATAGTTTAGCCTATCATAACGGAAGGCTCTTTTCCACAAAGGATGCTGATAACGATTCGTGGAAGAATTCCTGTGCCGCTGACAGAAAATCAGGATGGTGGTACGGAGCTTGCGATGAGTGTGATCTGAATGGACAATACCATAAATCTGCTGTCAATACGAATGGAAGTGTTAACTGGGAGCACTTCGGTAAAAGAAAAGCACCTATTTCATTGAAATCTGCAAAAATGATGATTAGACCAAAAAATTAATAATTAATTTGGTTTTAAAGTATCAATAAAATAGTATGAAACATGTTTCTTTTTTGTGAAATGTACATTTGTTTAACTTAAATCGATATTTTGACATTTATCTGTGGCTTTATATCAATATAATGACGTTTGGAACCATGAATGGCATAAGTTGCATAACCAAGAATATTCTATACATTGAATTTTCTAGTACGAAATGAAAATTATGTCACGAGTAGGACACACAGCATAAAAAAGTCCAACCAAAGTTAAAGCATTCCAAAGGATAACTTCATTATAGATAGGGATTTGACCTATAAGACCGGGTTAGGTTTATTCTCTAGAAAATGCTTGTCGATTTCCGTTCCGATTAATGACATTAGGCTGAATACATATAACAATTTGTTTTTCTTAAATCTTTATTTCAGTGAGTAGAGGTATATATATAGGGGTAACCCTTTCATTGGTTTTCTGAGTTTGTTATCTCAAAATGTAAAAACTGACAAATTTACTTTACTTTTCATTGTTCATAATGTTAATGTCTACTGTCTCTGAAAGTCTATTCTTCATGAAAGGCTATTTATGCGTGGATATGATAAAACATGCCATTAATGTGTACAAATTATATAAATCTAAATGAAATTCAAGGTTGCACAATTACTGACATATGTATCTAAAATCAATGTGATTAAACTCTAAGGAATATATACATGTCAACTGAAATTCATCGCAGCTCAATGCTTTCAAGAATACCTTTATCGAGTAACACATAGTGAGCTATTCTTGTCCTCGGAGAAAGTTCTTATACTTAGGTTTTCTCCGCCTGACTGGCAACTGTACATTGGATTGTTACGATTATTTGATCTCTCTTAAGTGTTTCTTTTATCAAGAATGGACATATACGATCGTATAAAGGATGGATAATTGAAGGAAAATACACAAGTCTATAAAAAAGTCTTTGAAAAGGCGAGAATTTAATAAAAGGTACCAGGTGGATTCGAACCCCCGACTTTAAAAAGAAAGTATCTACGGTATAACAGTTAGCATATATATCAATTGAGCTAGTCTGACTAATATAATGACTGATATAAATTTGAAGCAAATTAACAAAATCAAGTTCCTTTTTAGTAGGTGTTTTGTGAATATCGACCCGAGGGCAGGAGTGCCCCTAAATAAATCCTATCTTAAATTATTCCTTTTATCCTAACCTATCAAAATATCAGTTTTATTTAGGGGCAGGTCTGCCCTGAAGGACTTCTAGGCCAAAATTCATGCAAAAATCAACGCTTTAACGGACAAAATGATGTTTCGGCCAATATTGGAGGTTTATTATAAATATGTAAATAATAAATTTTAGGTATATAATACAAATTTGAAAGAGTTAGACATATATACCTAGAAAGTAACAAATAAAGGTTTATTTTTAAATAATCCCCTTTTCCGGGAAATTGTTTTCTCCTATAGGTCAATTCTTTCTCATAGTGAATACATCCTTTTTATGTTATTCATCAATTTAGAAATGAGACATACTGAAAGAAGGGCCCTTATCAATTAAAAACTAAACTTGAATTTAAATATCTTTTTAGTAAATAATACGACAATTTTTCAAATACAAAAAACACATTACAAGAATGGATGTGGATAGTGTAAGTAAGTAAGTATCTCATAAAAGTAAAAATGTTTAAATTAACAATCACTCTTTAAATGAGAAACTATAATTTAAAAAAAATTAATACGTAAAAGTAAGTAAAAATCCAAGGTCAATAGGTCAAATTTGGTGGTACCCAAAGAAAAGTCTTCCGTGAAATATGAAAGCCATAGCCCCATCCACTCAATAGTTATTGGCTAGGTTTAATTTGACAACAGACAGAAAAACAGACAGACAGAAAAACAGAGAGGACAAAAACAATATACCGTTACTACCCAGATCTTTCGATCCTATCATTTGGATTTTGTTGAGATAGAAGTCAAAAAAGCGCTTTCCATTCTTATTCCTACATGTAACTCCACGGCCATGTTTGTCCTTAGACTTCTCACAGTCAGTGGTATCAGTACCCACTTTCGCATTCAGGTCTCCCATGATCATTAGCATGTCATGGCGAGAACTTAAAAGACAGTGTATCTCATAAATGTAAAGATCTTCATTTACAATCTTGTTCTAGAATATGTGAATTTAAAATAGTCATTAAAACGTAATAGGAATCTGATACTTTTGATCAAAATTTAAACGAATATGATTAGATTTAAATATTGATTTTACGACTTTCAAGTTTGAGACATCACAAAGATCGCAACGAGAAAGCTTAAATAGTTGCAACCAAGAAGTTGAGTGTTATTTTCTTCAAGCAAACAAAGTAGCCTTGAACTTATGAAAATACGACTAAAAAGTCAGCGATATTTCTTTCGTTGGAATAGATATCTACTCTATGAAAGATTTATAAATCATGTTTTTAAATATGATGTAAAACAATTAAAATTATTGAGTCTAGGATAACATTCTTATTAGATGATAACATTGGTAGTTCCATGTAAAGACATTTAAAAATTTCCCAGGGGGGCGGGGGCATTCAACCTTTGTGTAGGTTCTCTTTGTGTTTGCAAATAAGGGGAGTATATACAACAAAAATGTTGTACACGAAGTTTTTGACCAAATCAAAATCCAGTAGCACATGTATGCATTTCAAAGCACATTTCAAGAAAGCAAGCAATCATATTTTCATAGCCAAACCCCGTTATCGTGAATCCAATATCAAAAAGTCTAATATTGGATTCCAAAACTTCATAAGAACCCTTACAAACAAAGATTTATAGCGGGTTCCAGTAAATGTTCATCCAAGCCTCCTTTTTTACTCTTCACTAGGATTTGAACAGTAGTGAAAGAGAAACTTCAAGAGCACCAATATATTCAAGAAATGGTGTAAATCAAATGTGGATACTTAAAAATTCCATGGAACTTTTAGACAATTTGAAATCACAAGATCTTACCAAAATCAACAGCTTAAAAACTTATGACTTTTCAACTTTATACACAACCATTCCCCATGATAATTTTTTTTATATCATTGACTTCTGCTTTTTCAATAAAAATGGAACTCGTAAATTTACTTACCTTGTCAATGGTCATTTGCAAAATCATTTTGTTAAAACATTCTGATTGTGCACACAAGTACTCTGAAGTTGACATCAAAAAGATGCTGGAATTTTTGATTGACAATACATGTATATATGTTGTTTTTGAAGACCTGGTCTTCCAACAATCATTGGAAATCCCATGGGTACCAATTGCGCCACGTTGTTAGCAGACCTATTTTTGTATTCATATTGAATTTGTGGAATAGCGTCACAAGGAAAAAAAAAACACTTGCTGTGACCTTTAGTTAAACATTTAGATATATCGACGACGTATTGTCAATTAACAATTAAGAATTATTTCCCTTCTTATGTCGATAAGATATATCCTGATGAGCTTGAGATAAAAGATACCACAGAGTCTGACACATTTGTTTCATATTAGGATATTTTACTCGAAAAAGACGTTAATGGTAAACTAACAACCTAGCACTACCGGGTATGATAAATGTGATGACTAAATTTTCTATCGTCAACTGCCCTTTCTTATGCGGCAGTATACCTTCATCACTTGCATACGGAGGTATATATCTCATTTGATTCGATACACAAGAGCATGCTCGAAGTATGAACGATTTCTAAAACGAGGTAAATTATTGACAAACAAGTTGATGTAACAAGAATATCAGCAGTCTCATTTAAAGTTATCATTTCGTAATTTCTATGGACGATACAATGACCTTGTCAGCAGTTTATCATTGAGTCAAATGCTGACCATCGTCGCAAACCACGGCCAAAATGTACGCTCCTCTCCCATCTGGCCGTGGTTGAACGAGGAGAGAATTCTTCGTAGCTCATTAAAATATTGACCAATGCGAGTAAAGCATAGTCGGATGATGAACTTTATCGCGACCTTTCAATATCCAATCGCAGTATGGAAAGTTTTTCTTGTATACTGTTGACGTCAGTTGTTGATTTCGATTGCGATGGATACAAAACTTTTCACTGACTGAATATGACGTCACAATAGAGAGGCGTAAATATTCAAGATTACGACACTTTTTGTGATCAAGCAGCCACGGGTGGGAGAGAGCTCTATATGCGGACTCCGGACCGTGGCTTGAGACGATGAATGCTGACTGGCGTTTTTATACTAATTGTTAGTCCATGATCTATACGCTGAATTGACGACAGACTTTTCCGTTATACCGCGATCATGACAAGGAGCACACAGCGGGTGTGGCTGGTC